TTCATGTTTGAAATAAAGTTAAAAATTAATAATTGATTTATTTTTATTTCTAAAATATCCTGCATAATAGTCTTAGAAGACTAGGATGATTGAAAAGATTTTCGAAAAGATTTGGATCGTTTAAGTTTGTGAAATTCGTTAAAAAATTTCACTTTTTTATATGAAATTTGATTTAATTATATTCAAATCTATAGACTTGTATTCTTCATTTTTTTCATACAAAATATAAAAATTTAGATTTATATATGAATTCTCAAAATTTTATAGAATTTCAAATAAGGGTTTTGTAAAAAAAAATAAATTATGTATATGTTGTTTGATTGATTTTCTCATGTGTGCCCTAGAAAATGTGGAAAATTAAAGGTCTTAAATTCAAATCTTCTCCATCATAAAAATTATCACTAATTTATTGAGCGTTATTCATAATTGTAAAAGAAATTTGCAAAATCATAACTGTGTTTATCTAAATAGATGTAGTGCAAGCAAAAGACATGCATTTTCACATGCAATTAATTACAAATTGGATAAGGTTTCGTAACTGAGAAGGCAACAACTTTGTTAATTTAAAAAGATCAATTAATGTAATGAGACCTCAAGAAAGAAAAATAAAATTTATAATGGTTTACTTTTGATCGAATAAGAGAAATAGATTTAATCTGTGGCGGAAATTTTTTTCGAAGATTTAAAACAAACAAATAAACATTAAGTTGGAATTTAAAAGAATATGAAGATACTCGCAATTCAGAGGAAAATTCATGAAGGTGTAAAGTTTAATAATTCAAATTGGAATCTTAATTAAGTGATTTTGACAAAAGGCTAAAAAAGATTAGCTAGCAATTAGAAAGAAATCAATCTACCTATCTATAGTATATATTCCACATACACTTAGAATAATCCAGAGATCTTCCGGACTTTTCTGTGGGATATGGTACACTTATTTGTAAATGAAAAGTTCTTTATACATGTAAAATTTGAAGATAATAATAAGTAATTTTGCATAATGTTTAAGGAATCTGTGAATAACCTTTTTCTCAAATTCTAAGAGTATTTCTAACAAATAACTTATATTTAAATAATTTTTTTTTAAAAAAATATATTTTTCAAATAACTTACTTTTTACTTTTTACTATAACTAATCTTTTTTTTTTTATGATGTGCCTTTGAGTTCGTTATACACTCAATTTTGTACTTTTGTTTTAATTTTTTTATCTATATAATATTAAAGCATAAATTTTTGTTTAGATTAAAATAAATACAAATAGTTAATTTATATTCCACTTTGTTTGGATGAATGTTATTTGGTGGATTTAGAGGGTAAGATATAATAAAGGAGATTATTTAGTTGTATGGAAAGAGAGTTTGAAAGAGAGGATTATCTTTTGAAAGTTAATTAAAGGGTTGAAAACCAATCTAAACGCTCCAATCTTCAACCCGCTGAATTAGAGTGTAAGCATAATTAAAAAATTTGATTCCTAAAATTATCCATAACTATATTTATAAATCTCCTATGACAATGGTATTTTCATAATTTTAATATCTAATATTACCTTCTTATACCATCAAACCAAATAAAACAATGTGATTAAACTTTCATTTACCATATTTTCTCCACAAACACAAAAAAAAAAAAAAAAAAAAAAAAAAAAAAAAAAAATAATGTATCATATTTTACCGCACCTTACTTTAATAATCCGTCTTTCCCTTCATCCAAACATAGTGTTTGGAGTCTAATCTGTCTCCACTCCACTGGGAGTGGCACCACCAACAAACCCAACCGGTGACCCTCTTAATATTATGGTATTGAAATTTAATTAAACCTTAGTAATACGCTTTACCATGCAAGCAGCCACAGGGGCGGCGCAGGACATGTTAAAGGGGAAATTAAAAAAAAAAAAAAATTCAGACTAAAATTTTTTAAAATATATTTGAATTTTGCCCCATAATTAAGTAAAATTGTATTTTGACTCTTAATTATTTAGGTTAGGTCCGCTACTACCTGCATGATTATCTCCACTCCGCCGGCAGTGGTACCACCACCGACCCCAACCGGTGACTCTTTTACTACCACCATAACCATTGAATTTTTAAATCTTAAAATTAAGAAACACGATAGAATGATGTAAAATTTTAAAAATGTGCTCACAAATACTGCCAAAAAAAATAATAATTTGCTAGCTAATGTATTAATAATGCCGGTAGGTTTTTAATAATGAAGAATATACGACCAAATTATACACAGTGATCAATCTTTTTATACTACTAAATATTTAAAATGTGCTTAATGAATCTCCCATCTTCATCGATGCATCCAAGGCAGTAACAATATGTAAAAGGGCAAAAAAAAAAAAAAAAAAAAAAAAAAAAAAAAAAAAAAAAAAAAAAAAAAGAAAGAAGAAAGAAAGAAAGAAAGAAAAGAAGGCCCCTACATGACTCTATAATGGAATAGAGATGAAAACGGTAAAAATTAATTAAATCGAATTGATTTAGATTTAGACTTCATACATTTTTATGTTTTAAAGGCAATTTTGATTTAAACTTTCTATTTTTTTTTTTTGGAAACCACGGTATCGGATTCTATTATCAGGGACCGCTTAATTTGGCTCGGAACTTAGTCACAGTTAAGACTCTTCACTTCTTCCTCCTGCAGGTGCATTTAATGGGATCAAACCTGAGAACTCTTCCTATATACCTAGCCTATGTTGCTAACTGAGCCACAATCCGTAGATTTATACACTTTTTTTAATACATTTTTATTAATTAGCGCATTAACACTCTAACCTCACTGATCAACAATAATTTCAACAATAAAAATAAAATATATTTAATATAATATCCTAGAAATATCAAAATAGTTAAAGGAAAGAAAAAAGGAGAAACCTAATTTTTTTTGTCCTATAAAAAATAAACACTATTCTTTAATTTGTAATTTGTCAAATAAAATTGAACTAAAAGAGACTTGAAAAACAAAATGAAGGAAAATAAAAAAATATTTTGGGCTTTAATATATTTTTTAAAACTATGTCAATTATAAATAATTACACAAATGTAAAACTAATAGGCTTCTATCTAAATAAATATATATAATCTTACCCTTATATATAAATATATAAATCTTACCCTAATATAATATATATTATATTATAAATCTTAAACTATAAATATGAATTATACAAATAATTAGATAAAATTAAAAATAAAAATAAAAATTTACAAATTTTCCGCAAGTAGCATTGAAATTAAAAAGAAAAGAAAAAAATTATATAGAAACAACAAATCTAACCTTGTTTTTATTAAGTTACGTTGAATGTAGCGACTTCGTTTACCTTGAAAGCACAAAATAATAGAATATAAAAGATGAAATCAATTAGTAAAATCAAAAATTAGTTAAAAACTTTAATTTAAACAAACAAATATATCCTAGCTATGAACGTGAATTATACAATTAATTAAATAAATCAAAGAACTAGGCTACATATTTTCCACAGGTAGCATTAATTAAGAATAAATAAGGGGTGATCTCATACGTGTGACATCCCGATCCGGCAAAGCAATCTTAAGAAGACGGATAGAGCAAAACTTTTGGTTAGTTTTTAGGATGACATACTAGTTATGGGTGATAAAATGCATAATACAGAAATAAATCTATCGAAAATGTAAAACTAATAATCAGAGCTGCCTTTTGGCGTAGTGACTTGGATAGTTGGAAGAACTTCAAAATTAAGTGTGCTTATTTAACGGAAATTCTAAGATGGGTAACCTTTTGAGAAGTTTTCCATTTCACCTGTATACGGGTCAATCCAACATGGGATCGCGGTACTAAAACCTTGACATTTTTAGTTCATTTCAATTTTTTTTCTTCGTCTCCACTTAGTGTCTTAGTGTGTGTGTGTGTATATAATAGTATATATATATTATATATATATATAATATTAGATTATAATAAATAAATTTATGAATTTTTTATTTAATTAATTTGCTTAATTTTACTTATAATTTGCTTTGTACAATTTTATGTGATTTAATTAGATTATAAATAAATAAATTTATGATTTTTTACTTTAATTTAATTTGCTTAATTTTTAACTTATAATTTGCTTTGTACTAATTTTATGTGATTTAATTTTTTTATGTACAATATATTATAAAAATAGAACAACAATTCAAGATAAGTCAATTAAAAAATAAGGTAAAATAAATTAAAAAAAATTAATAAATCAAGATGTTTCACAAAAGAAAATTACAAGCACAGTTATAATATTTGACACTTTAAATGATCAATTAAAAAAGAAAAAATTTATTAAAAATAATTAAATCAAAGTATTTCAAAAAAAATTATAAGCACAAATCATGATAATTAACATCTTAAAAATTCTCTTTACTTTAATATATGGTTTCATAAATATAAAAATTTAAAAATACAATGAAAATAAATGCAATTAGCTTGACAAAATGTCAATCGTCATTATCAAATTGAATATAAAATTCTTTATCGTCTGATTGAAGAGAAATCATATAATAAATAGCATCGAAAAATAATTTTTGCATATGCTATTAAGTAAATTTATTTTGTCTAGTCAATGCTTCCTCAACTAAGTGGATTAAATCTTACTTAGGCTCAATTTCACTTTACACGTTTCTTTCCATTGAATAACTAGAAAAACTCTGTTAAAAAAAAAAAAAAAATCATTGATTAGTTTGGCTTATGAACCAGCTCATAAACCGGATTAAACCGGATCTAACTAAATCATTCTCGAAACCAGGAAAGTAAGTGAATGTTGAATTAACCTTCCAATTCTGATCTCTTATTCTTTATTTAAGGTCAAAAGAAACTAAAATCTCAGCTGCTAGACGCCGCCAGAATATAACAGAATAGAGACCAGAATATCATCATTGATATATAAAAATATATACATGTACATACCATATATATCCATCAATCATGGCTTCTCATCTCCTTAAATGATGTGCCTGTATATGATCTTTATATATATATATATATATATATAGACAATGTATGTATATACAAACTGTATGTATAAAGTTGTCTTCTTCCTACGAAATTTTCCACTCCACGACGATCAGGTCCACATCACACCACCCTTCTTCTTCTTCTTCTTCTTCGTATCGACAATTTGGGTATCTGTGTTCTTCGTAATGCGTGCTCTGCTCTTCCTATGATTGAGGCACCACCATCAACATATATCATATACATATATATAGAGAACTTTTTCTCTTTCTATGTACTGTACTATAACAGTCCATAACCAATAACCCAGAAAAGTTTTTGCCTTTCACTTTCATTCTCTGCCATCTAGAGAGAAAAACCAAGATAGCATATATTGGCGCACCATCATCAATTCATCATACACATGTATTGGCGCTCTCTTTCTCTTTCTAGCTACTGTTCTATCTTAGTCCATTACAAACAACCCAGAAGTTTTTGTCTTTCGCTTTCGATTTCTGCCATCTAGAGAGAGAAATGTCTGTATGTGTGTGTGAAAGAGTAGAAATTAGAGGAGAGAAACGCACGTGAAAGCAGAAGAGAACCCAGGAAAGCATATAATAGATGTACAGAAGCCAAAGACAAGTGTCACGGAAAATGACCAAATATGGTTATTAGGTGTACAATTCCCATTTTATAAATTTCACTTTCACTACATGCAGAGTCTTGAAGAATACATATTGTTTGACAAAAACTAAAGAAGCGAAAAAAGAAAGAAAAATTAAAGTTTTCTCTCTTTATGTGTTTCTTGTTTTTGTTATAAAGTGTTAGTTGCTGCTGCCTCCACAAACACCCCATATCTCCCGTCTTCTTCACCACGTGGTTTTGCATCTTCTATACCGGTTACTTAAAGCCCATAACCTTCTTCCACTATAATTCACCATTCTTTCTCTCTTCGACCTATCTCATCTTATTTTTCACTTACTGGTTTCTTCTTCTCTTCTAATTTGCCAAAATTTTAATTGCTCTGTTTAAATTGAATTAAAGCTAAACAATTTTGTTGCTTTTCAATGTAAATTCATCACCAAGACTCCCTTTTATCTCATTTTCCTCAGCTGGGCTGTTCTTGTTTCTGTTCTTTAAATTGGACTACTCCCAATTTAGTTAAAATATTTCGTGTTTTACAATATAATTCACTAACCCCAAGCCTCTCTTACGTCTTCATTTGTCCTTTTCCTGAAATTTGGGTTGTTCTTATTTCTGTTCTTTACATTGAATCAATCCCAATAATTCATTTTTTCTTGTTTTGCGATACAATTCTCTTTAAATTATTTGTTTCTCATTTTCTTGAAGTGGGCTGTTCTTATTGTTGATGTTGTTGTTGAATTTTAATTCTTTTTTCAAAAAATATTCCATGGCTTTAATTCTTTGGTTTCGAAAATTATGCTACGTAGAGCTTGTAAAGTTCCAATCATTTGAATTCCAAAAATGTGAAAAGAAAGAGGAAATTGTTTTCCCTGAAACCAAAAACAATGCCTTAGAAACTAAAAATAGAAGGACTAAAAGAAAGCCAAGAGAATGGAGTTGCATAGATACTTGTTGTTGGATAATTGGGTATATGTGCACTATTTGGTGGCTTCTATTGTTCTTGTATCACTGTTTACCGGCCACATTGCCCGGCTTTCAAGTCCCAGAGTCACCTGGTGCAAGACTTAAAAGAGAAGGCTTGACTGCTCAACATCCAGTGGTTTTGGTGCCAGGCATTATAACTGGAGGGTTAGAGCTTTGGGAAGGCAAGCCTTGTGCAGAAGGTCTTTTTAGAAAGAGACTTTGGGGTGGCACTTTCTCTGAACTGTTCAAAAGGTTTGCCTTTTATTTTCTTTAATCAAATATTTCATATGTTTTTAATGCTGAATTATATATGTGAATTGACTGTGAAATTGCTCTGGAATTTAAGCTATTATGCTATTAAAAGTTAATTTTGTGTTTCATTTTGGATTGAATGTGAAATTCAATGGTGTTCAATTAAATTTTTTCCATTGCTTTGTTCAAACTCAGATTTTAGGATTTGGATTAACTGTACTTGTGAACTTGATTTTAGTAACATTTTTGCTTTATCCATGAGCTGATACTTTGATTAGAGTAAAAGAACTCATTCATATGCAAATTTTTCTTGGGATATTTAGGCCATTATGTTGGTTAGACCACTTGATTTTGCATAATGAGACTGGTCTTGACCCACCTGGCATTCGAGTCCGAGCAATTCCAGGGCTGGTTTCAGCTGATTATTTTGCTCCAGGATACTTTGTTTGGGCTGTTCTGATCGAGAATCTGGCAAAAATTGGTTATGAAGGGAAGAATCTGTATATGGCAGCCTACGATTGGAGGCTATCTTTTCAGAACACAGAGGTATGTGTTTGTGTATATAGCTCTTATGCAAAGGTATCTTTATTGTTTCTGGATTTTATCTTTGTTGCTGCAGAAATTTTGATCATGTCTCTTAATTTGTTCGAGAATAATTTTTTTTTAGAGCAGAAATGTTTTATAAAATTTGTAAATAGTGGTAAATTTGAATTGAGATTCCACTAATATATTCCTAATTCAAAACTAGCAGATTCGGGACCAGGCTCTTAGTAGATTGAAGAGTAAAATAGAGCTAATGTATGTAACAAATGGTTATAAGAAAGTGGTAGTGGTTCCCCATTCTATGGGGGTTGTCTATTTTCTTCACTTCCTTAAATGGGTTGAAACACCTCCTCCAATGGGAGGAGGTGGTGGTCCAGGTTGGTGCAGCAAGCATATCAAAGCAGTCATGAATGTGGGTCCCACATTTCTTGGTGTTCCGAAGACAGTTAGTAATATACTCTCCGGCGAGGGCAAAGACATTGCGCTCTTCAGGTTAGCATTCGCCATCTTTCCTTTACATTTAGTTGGCTTTTAGAGCTAGTAATACTGCAAGTACAAGTTCCTTTCTTTCTTTTTTCTCATCATTTTTCCAGATGTTTTGAACGATGATTAAATAAAATACTGATAGAAATGCTTTTGCATGTATCCAATAGAGCTATGTTTTCTGGTGTTTTGGAATCTGAACTTCTCGGACTTCAGACACTCGAACATGTACTGCGAGTGACTCGAACATGGGATTCAACTATGTCATTGTTGCCTAAAGGAGGAGAGACTATCTGGGGTAACCTGGATTGGTCTCCCGAAGAAGAGGAAGGTTGTGACTTGTCAAAGAAGAAATCCTTGCCATCCTCTGGGAATGACAATAGTAGTGATGCAAAGAAAAGATTTCAGGTTCAAGAATCAGTTAACTATGGAAGGATAATTTCTTTTGGCAAGGCAGCATCAAAATTACCGTCTTCGCAGCTTCCCTCTTTTGATTCAAAGGTAGTATTCTGTTAGTTTGCTGCTGCAAACCTCAAAAATTCATAAGGTGATGAAATACAAAATGTAAATTTAATAACATATCTAATATAACAATCCTTGTATGCTACATAGTAATCTTGATGCTAGCCCCCTGTGCACTTGTATCTTGATTAATTTTCTTGAACAATCAAAATTGTTTTTTGTCGGAGCTAGAAATTTTGGAAGAACTTAGAAGTTCTGGTGCCCTGAGTAAGAACAGGAACAAATTTCCTCTTGCAGCATTGCACTACAGCTAATTGGGGGAAAAGGTCTTCCTATGTCCAATTCATGGATTGGAAAGTTAAGCCTAGACTGCCAACTATGCTTAATTTGAACGAGCTGTGCCTAATGCCAGTGTGATATCTACCTTCCTATTTCGTTTAGTTTTTTTTTTATGTTGTTATGATTTAGGATGATGATAAAAATATGTCAACAGGAATTTGTTGGTGCCGGTGGCGATAAGAATTCGGGGTCATCATGTGGGGAGGTTTGGACTGAATATGATGAGATAAGTAGGGAAACCATAAGAAAATTTGCAGAAAATAAAGCTTTTACAGCTACAACCGCTCTTGATTTACTTCGTTCTGTGGCTCCAAAGACAATGCAACGCGGTGAGGCTCATTTCTCTCATGGGATAGCTGACGACCTCGATGATCCTAAATATGAACATTACAAATACTGGTCCAATCCTTTAGAGACAAGGTATACTGCAACTTTTAGTACTTGCTAATAGTTTATAATCCTTTTCCTATCCTATACATAAAATGTTCTAAGGACCAAAGTTTGTCATCTTAGTTTTTTATATTAGTGAAGCATAAGTACTAATGGTTTCAGAGTTTGCATTTCTGTTTTTATTAGGTTACCTAATGCACCGGATATGGAGATATACTGCTTATACGGTATTGGAATTCCCACCGAAAGATCGTACGTGTTCAAGCTATCGCCTAAAGATAAGTGCAAGAGCATTCCATTCCGAATTGATACCTCAGTTGATGTAGAAGAGGGCAGTTGCTTTAAAAAAGGAGTATCTTTTGTAGATGGAGATGAAAGTGTGCCTGTACTAAGTGCAGGCTTTATGTGTGCTAAAGGTTGGAGAGGGAAAACTCGGTTTAACCCGTCCGGAAGTCCTACATACGTAAGGGAGTATCGACACAAACCGCCTGCTAGCCTGCTTGAAGGAAGAGGTATAGAAAGTGGATCACATGTAGACCTTATGGGAAACTATGCTTTTATAGAAGATATACTAAGAGTTGCTGCTGGAGCCAATGGTGCTGATATTGGAGGTGATCAGATTTATTCAGACATCATCAAAATGTCCGAAAAAATAGATCTTCCATTATGATTACCCATAATGAAAGGAGTTAATCGGAGCGAGGATGAGTGAGAGAGAACTAACTATTTATAGAGGTTTTGTTCATAACTATGTTATTTTGCCTACCATGAAAGAGTCATGAGAGTGTGGGATTGTGATTTATGAGTGTATATACACATGAGCAAGGCAAAACAAAGTATTGGCTGCCTTTGCTTTTTTGGTTCTCAATATTGTAATTTATCTTGGCTTTTGTGATAATTGTCCTCATTTCCACCACTGCAATTTCCAGGAAATGCATATTTTCTTTCAACTCATTTTTGGATTAAGTTTTTATTTCATTATTCACTAATTTCCAAGAAATGCATATCTTCTTTCAACTCATTTTTGGATTAAGTTTGTATTTCGTTATTCACTAAATTCCAAGAAATGCATATTCGTAATTCCGCTACCATTCTCACCATGGAGCCTCATGACCTCAGCCTCATCCCCATTGTCTCTGCCTGGAAAATTTTCCTCTCAGCACTCTCAGAAACCCTTTTGTTATGTTAGGAGAAATACCCGGCTCTATACAACTCGTTATCGGAAACTTGGTAACTCCAGATTAAACAATCGTGCAATAACTTCAATAAGATAAAATAAATAAATACTACTGAGAAAATAACAGGAGACACGATATTTTAGCATGGTTCTATAAATTATCTATATCCACTGATAGCACTAAATCTTTTACTATGTAAGAATAAAATAATACATACAAATATCGAAGTTTTCCCTTGAGTTATGCCTCCTCAAATATTTCACAATATTTGTATACCCCTCTCATAAACCCTCAAGGATTGCTATCAAACCAAGAGTAAACCTGCTCTCAAACTCAGTGTTTAAATAACCCCACTGAAGCATTTCCTAGTGTAAACACTCTCTCTCAAATCCAGTGTTTAAGCTAATCCTACCGAAGCAAGCACCCTCTAGAACACTGAAGTAAAACACTAAAGACGCAGTATTGAAGCCAACCTCACTGAAGCAACCACCCTCTAGAACTCTAGAGTAAATACCCGCAATTAATTATACTCAATTAATTGCAGCGAGAGTAAATGTCCTACTTTCACAGAATCCATTTTTCTTCGTACCTGGCCAAATGGCCATAGTCTTCAATTTATAATTTCCAACGGCAATAAGATTTGCCAATTTCAAAACTTTGAACCCAAACTAAGTTACTTCATGCTTTGTACCTAAGCAAAGCAATACGAACATTGGGCTTGAAGGGAAAGTCACGCACAAAATTCAAGGCATAAGTCAACATGTTATGAGTTCTATTCAGCACTCTCAGAAAGAGCAATATGGCTACTTACAGGAGAACTAAAGGTAGTGTTGGAAAATGAGAGACGAGAGATGAATAGGAAAACATAAATTCATTACTGATATCAAAGGATTTACAAAGCATAAAACTCATTTTTTTTCCCTTTTCTTTTTTTTCTTCATCTTCGCTTATCCAGCTCTATCATTTCTCTTTCTCTTCTTTCTCTTTGTTCTCTAGGCAATCTGTTACAGCAGCCCTATTTATACAAAAGAAACTAGATAATTTTTACCCACCTAACTCAAGAGCTTAAGTTAAACTAAAACAATGGATTCTACCATCATTTTGTTCAAGTTTGTAAGAAAGGAAAATATGAAAAACATAAGTTCAATGTCAAGTGACAGCCCAAGTATCATTATTGCTAACAGGTAGGAAAAATGGATTAGAAAACTCTATTGTCCGTTTATTGCATATGCAAATTCTAAAATTGTCTTCAAGAGTCCTGTTGGACTCTTTACAGGACATTCAGCAGGATCATCAGTGGGTCCTTCAAGTGGGTAAATTGCTTCAGGCTTGTAAGGTATAGATTATTGTTAACGTCAAAACCCTGTTTGGAAAAGCCTATCGAGTATCAACATCGCAAAGGACGCCCAGAGAATAAATGATATCTTTCAATTTTAGAATAATAAAATTTAAGGATTCCTAATCCTATGATGTTTAGTATTTGTCTTTTAATAATTTCCTTTTCCTTTTATGATTAGAATTTCTATGGTGTCGTTATAAAAACAGAGCAGTGTTCAAGAAGTTGTTTTGTTCTCTTTCATTATCTGATACATCGAAACTTCAACCATGGAGATGATTTTCCCTCGTTCTGAAAGATACCAAATTGGACCCCCATTTTCTGATTATCTTCAAACTTTCCTGGAAAATTCTCCTTCAAATCCTACGGGAAACTTTGTCCTTGTACCAGATGGCCTGCATTGTCCCACTAGCTCTTGCGTTCATGGCTACCCATCTCAAGAACTAAGCGAGAAAGAGATTGAAGATTTTCTTTTACTTCTTCGACGCTGCCCTTGTTTTTGTGTTCTTATAGAATATCCAAGAGATTGGATAATTGACTATAATGGTTTCTTGAATAGAAAGTTTGATTCTTTAGAGTCTTTAATGGTAGAGAATCGAAATTTATAAGAAAAGGCTGTTAAAACAAACAACAGTAGAGAATTTAATGGTTTCTTGAATAGAAAGTTTATTTCTTTAGAAGTTTTAATGGTAGAGAATCGAATTTAATAAGAAAAAGCTTGTTAAAACAGACAACAGTAGAGAATTACGATAAAATCTTATGAGATTGATAGAGAATTCAAGCCGTATTTCATTGAAGAATATGCAGGAATTTATACAAGAAAATGGAAATAACAAACTTCCTATTTTAGAAGACCACTCATAAGGGTGGATAAAAACTGAATAAAAAATCTGCACTAAAGAGCTAAAAAAAGTGCCACTCACTTAAGCCACTCACTCCATCATTTGATGCTGTACAAAAAAAAAAGAAATAACAGAAAAATAATTAACGTAATTGCTTGGAACTGAATATGCCGAATCTAACCTCCTCCTTGTTGCATTTCGGTTGCAAGACACCCATTCCTTTGGTCTCAAGTCTCAAATCTCTCCCTTAGGAATGGCCTTGTAAATAATGTCTGCAAGTGATTTTCAGATGAGCACTGTACCAGTAGTCACTTCGTTAGATTGTGAACTTCTCTGAATAAAAATGAAACTTAATTTGATATGCTTCGTTGATCCCATGAAACCTGGATTTTTGGGAGATTGAAACTGCCCGAAATTATATCACACATGAATCTTTGTAGCTTCTGTCTGCTCACATGCAAATCTTTAGCATCTTCCTTAGCCAAATAGCCTGGTTTACAGAGCAGAGGCAGCAGGCAATGTACTCTGCTTCTGGCTGTTGAATTGAGCTTGTAGTTTTCTTGTTTTTTTGAGCTCCAACTGAAAAAAAAACTGTGTGCCAACTGAAATAAGTATCAGAAGTGCTTCTTGAGTCTTCAATATCCAGCCACCGATCGCTGTCACAGTAAACCACCAACTTCAAACTCTCCCCTGCAACTGCTGCAAAGAAATCCCAAATGTGGCCTGGTTTCATTTGATAGTACTTAAACCTTTTGGCAAGCTGTAAAGTGGGTTTCCCTAGGGTGAATGCATGACCTAGAGAGGCAACTTACAGCAAATAAGAGAATTGTCAGAGTCTGCTAGCTGTAAGGTACAGAAGACTACCATTATAAACTTCTTATAGAGGCTTGTCATTATTTTTTTAAAGCATTTTCATCCTTGCCTAGCTTTAAACCAGTAGAAAAATTGGAGTGCTTACAGGTTTTTGCAATCTTGCCAATTTTTAAACCTGTTATAAATATCAGAAATGGTATTGTCTGTGACTGTACTAAAAAACCATCAATATTTTGCAGCACTCATCCCAGGAAAGTATTTCATCGATCAAGATTCAGTCATCTCAAAGATTTCTCCATTTCATGTCTTGACTTTTAATGAGTTCAAGTTTGCTTAAACTGTGCACAGCATGTCCAATCAAATAAATTGAAACATACTAAACAAGGATCATCCTCTGTATTTTCTTAACACATACAGGTAGCTGTCACTTTTGACTTTCTGCTAAAGCCAAGGCGCAATGAGAGATGTCCATCCTTTCATACCAAAGCTCTCGGAGCTTGTTTTAAGCCATACAAAGCTTTCTTCTAGAAGAATAAACTTGATCTCTTTAACCAGGAATTTAAAAAACATAGGTTTGCTCTACAAAAATCTCTTCATTGAGAAACCCATTCCAGAATGCTGATGTGACATCAAGTTGTCGAATTTGCCATGAATTGGTGAGCAGCAAAAGAAAGAAGGAGTTTGATTGTATCATACCTTGCTACTGGAGGCAAAAGTTTCCTTGTAATTCCTACCAATATTGTTGTGGCATATCCTTCACACAACAATCTGGCTTTTATGCTTACAAACTGAACCATCAATAATTAAATTTGGGCTTAAAGACCACTTTAACACAAAATCACCTTGGCGATTTGCTGCCTATGATTCAAATAGCTGCCATGTCTCATTCTTGTTGTCATGTTCTAATTCAGTCTTGCATAGCTTCCTCCATGGCTTGGAAATTCTTGGTGCTTTCATACAGCGTAGTTTGTTGGTTTCATTGACAACCAAGCTACACCTTTCATAAATGGTCCTCTAAGGACTTTGTACCTCTCACCGGCAAGTCATCCACAAATCATCTGCTACAAGTTGAGGTTGCTCTTTTTGGAAAGAGATTAGCATGAGTATTACTTCTTGATTCTTCCCAACAGCCAAACAGCAGCCTCATCAAACTTACATCTTCTGCTCAAAATTATTTTTTTTCAGTTTTCAAGCAGAAATTCTGTAAAACCCTTTACAGACGATGAACATAGCCATGAAAATGCCTTTTTTCAGCCCTGTTGTCTTAGCTTGCTTTCTTTTTGATTCAGGATACTTGATAATAACATATACACAAAGCCCAAAGATTCGTAATATGGTGTTGTTGGGCTTTGTGTCATATCCAAGCTGTATAAGGAGTCCTGTCTTGCAATGCTTTTGTGGGAAGTCTATTTTAATAAAATAGACAGAAGGTATTTGACTGGCCTCTGCCCCAGAATTGGTTTGGCAATTTGTTTTCCTCATTAAAAGACACCTGGCCATTCCATTATTGTCCTATTCTTTCCTTCAGACACCCCATTTTGTTGGGAGTGTAAGGTAATCAGTCTTTGATGTTTCAAGTGCCTGTAACTTTTACAAAATCAGCAAACTGGCGAGAAGTATATTCTCCTCATTGCTCAGAATCTAAAGCTTTAATTTTAAAGATTCATTGACTTCTCTTAAAATTGTTTAAACATATCAAAGACTTCACTTTTGAGTTTAATGAAATAAACCCAACACATCCTGGTGCAGTCATCAATAAATAGGAGAAAATAATTGTTACCACTC